TTTTTGTTTTTGTTTTTTTTTAATTTCTCTGCGGATGTTGTATGTGTACCAACTGCTGGAATGTGAGCAATGGAAGAGCCAGAGACTGAAAAACGGATTTCTGAATTTAATATTGGCCGGACTATTTTTTGTAGATTTGGAGAACTCTGAATATGTCTCGGGTGGACCATTGTGCTCCCAGCCTGAACACCAAACATTCCAATGTTTCCAGTGTGGAAATATGCTCCTAAGAGTGGTAGATAATCAAAGTCTAGATCAAATCCTGCATTTGGATGGTCTCTCTTTTCTTTTGAGAATCGTTATAGGTAGAACAGATATAAAACAGTCTGAAGAACTGAGAAAGGTAAATGAGAAGTAACTACTTTCTGAAAGGAGAAAAGTGAGATCTCTCATCTTTGTACAGAATGGGTATTTTATTTCCTAACCTATTTAGATAATTTGGATCAAGTGCTTAGAAGCATTGTTGAGTCTTGCAGGCAATGAAAGGAGCCCTTCTTTGCTGAAAAGAGGAACTGGAAACCAGACGCTTCTACAATTCCAGGTAAGCTGCATTTGCATCAGCTAGAAACTGCATTTACATCATCAGTTGCTTCCAAGTACAAGAAATTATGCTTACAGAAATGAATCTTTAAAAAACAAACAAACAAAAAAAGCCATACTCAAAGACTTCAGTGGAGAGGCACTGACTACTCTGTCCCTAGCACCTTGTTTATCATCATTTCAAAGAGAACTTGGTTCATTTCCAAAAACAGAATATAAGAATGTGATCCTGTTTCTTACAGCATATATGTGCTTTTGGCTTCTAATTCTGTTTGACATACTTCTTTTGCACAGTAGTTTGCAATTATTAGTTTCACTATGATTCTTTCTAGGGGTGTATACCCACCTGGCATAGCCTCACATCTGCCTTTTGGAACGCACACGTCATCAGGATATCACACAATGCTGCACCAGCAGCCTGCAATTATTGGTGTATGAAGTCAAAACAAAACCTTTCATCTGCAAATCAGTGAAAAGCATGGAAAAGAACATGAGTTGCAGTGTAGAACTTCACCTCTGGGTAGGGAGGTACAGCAGAAAGGTTCCCAATGGTCATAAAATGTTTAGTTTTGTTGCATGCAGGTTGTAAAATGCTACAGCAGCAGTACAGATACTTGCTTCCTTTCTCCCCTCTTCCTTTTGTGGTTGTCCCCTTTTTCCAGAAGATTAGAACTGAAAAGACTGTTGAATGTAACAGTATCAGTGTGGCCCCATTTTTTTTTTTTCCTCTGTGCTCTGCTAAGTGGCTGTTATTACTGTGGACTGTATAGCAAGTAGACATTTTGACTCAATATCATACTGTTTAGCAAGATCTTCGGAATTCAAAGGAAAAGTATTTTACTACCCATCATTCTATAGTCAAATAAAGAAAATTTGTCTCCTGTAGTATGTTTCCACTGCAGAGCATTCATCTATCCTGTCAGATTTTGTACATTGGCTTTTACTTACATCTTCCTGTGTTCTGTATTTTGTGATGGGTCATTACCTTCCATGTGCATGGTGAATGCTTTTGCCTGTTACAGAAGAGGGCAGGCTAGGTTGGTTTTCCAGTCTTGCTGGTAGGAAGTCACAGCCTGTGAGCAGGTTAGCCCTGTGGATGTTGAGGTGTGTTTGCAAATTAGTTGTAGGTGGGACAAGGTTGCATTTATTTCAAGTAGGTTTGCACAGCTGACTTTCGTTTCCTTAATTGGCTGGATCAGTAACTGGTAACACCTGTGATCTGGCTTCCTCCTGTTCAGCTGCATTAATCAGTTGATGATTAAATTTAACTCCCTATTTTATCTGAAAACATACGCAAGCATATTTTTGTATGTTTTTTTCTTAATGCGTAATTTTTCTAGTAAATAATTAGTACTCAGCCAGGTGATATTTTCTACCCCCATAATGCATCCAGCTGTTTTACCTGATTTCTTTCCAAGTGCTCATTCATGCACAAGCGAATTTATTATATTCTGGCTAAATGTTACACAAATGTTGTTGTTTTTAGTCTCTAGATTGACAATTTTCCTCTGCTGCTAGTTCTGTACAGTTACACTTCAAGGTCATTTCAGATTAGGTATTTCTGGTAGTATATTGTTGCAATAAATAATTGTGTTGTTTTCTCTGTATCTTTGGTTGATTTGTTTAAAAGAAATAATTCAGCCACATCATAGTACCTCACAAACAGCATATGCAAATATATATGCATACATATGTATGTTTATATGACAAGGACAGAAACAGTGTCTGTCTTCTTAAAATGAGCACAGTGACATTTCATGTCACGGCGCTGTTGAGGTATGGTTGTTACCATACAATACTGTAAACTATATGAACCTGAACTAATGTGAAACTGTTCCTCATTGTGTAATAAAGGCTTATCATTTTTCTGTTCCAGCATACACTGAGAGGCCCAATATGTATATTTTATGAACACCGGCATTATTGTGATACTTTGGAATTCATGAACCACTTATTTAAACTTACTTGTGTGTATTTGGTCTTGTGCTGTGCATACTTCACTGTGATACTGAGATACTTAATCTTTGTACATACCAGTATTTTGCATGATGTAGTTAAGTTATTGAAAGTTTTGTTTTCTTTTCACCTGGTTGGGAAACGTGCAGATAAGTTGTTTGTTTTGAAAATAAAAAATGGGCCAGGTTGTTGGAGCAATCGCAGATATGTGCATGAACTGGGACAAGAACTCATTGAGAGCAGCCCTAAGGACTAGGACTAGGGGGTCCTGTTGGACAAAAAGCTTGATGCGAGCCTAGGCAACCAGAATTAGTGAGTGGTAACCCTGTGCACAGAGGGGATGAGGGGTTAGACCCTTCCAACCCGAGGCATTATACAAATATGAATCCACTTATAAGAGCTTAGAGTCAGGAACTATGTAAGTGAATGCAGGAGAGGCTATAGAGGACATGTTGACGTGAATATTTAGTATACTTGGGAATTTTTTTAATTGATTATATAATTGCATCTGATCCATGATACTGGGGGGCGATCCATAAAGCACTTCATTGAATTTAAGCGTAATGATAAAGTTATGTTTCTTTTCTCAGATTAACCCTGAAATTGTAAATCAGTAACTTAAGAATTGAAAATGGCATTGTGAGAAAAGTTGTCTGGTTTGTGCCGTGAAGTGTAAGAGTCAATCAAATTATCATTCCATTTGTGTGTGAGTTTGCATGTGCCTAAGTGACAACAGCAGAAGTGAGAAGTATTGAGAAACAGGTAATAGAAGTGCTGAAGCACCTAGTAAGAAATGTTAGTTGGGCTAACAATAAACTTTGAATTCAGTAAAGATGTGAAGAAGGAAGATATTAAAGCAACTGACAGTATAAATCAGGAAATTGTTTTAATCTATTATCTTTTTCTGTGTTTTTTTTCATGACAAGTGAAATAAAATATTCCATAAATACGTTGTCCAACAGTTTCAAATAATTGACCTTCTACTATCTTCCACTAATTCAATGGGAAAAGTATGGAATTCTCGCCATATCAGCTTCATAACAGTTTCCTAAACAAGCTCCAGTGCTTCTTCTGATGGAGTGGTTTTCTTCCCATGGTCAGGTTGATCTGGAACAGGCTGTCAGTAGAGGTGGTAGATGTCCTGTCCCTAGAGATGTTTAAGGCCAGGCTGGACAGGGCTCTGATCGACCTGAGCTAGCTGTAAGTATCCCTGTTCGTTGCAGCAAAGTTGAACAAGATGGCCGTTAAGGGTCCCTTCCAACTCATCTGGTTCTGCAGTTCATCTACCCTCCATTGTCGGTGTTTTGAAGCCTGTATCTGAAAGCTGTGATGGAGTTGCTGGAATAGATGAGCTCCTGCTCATTGGTACAGTGCTTCCTTTCTTTTCAGTGTTGTTTTTTTCTTTTTTTGCTAGAACAGTTTGTATGCCAGTGTCAGCCCCTCATGTCTGCTGGAGTACTGGTGAAACGTCAGTCCAGGAGGTTATTGCAAGCTGACAGCCCTTGGAGCATAGCACCTGGTTAACAACACGTAACATAATGACACTTCCAAAGCACTTTTAGCTGGGAAGTTTTAAAGAGCAATGGCTCTCTTCCCAGCCTCTGGAAAGTATATATTCCCCAGGAGAAAACTGCCCTTGCTGAGGTACAGCTGTTTTTCACAGAGATGCCTCTGCCTTTATAAAAAGTACTGTATTTTTTTTTCCACTGGTGACATTTCTTATACGTATTTGTAATCTCATATAAGTTTGGGAGCGTCTCTAATTATGATATGAATTGTTGGCACATTCTTCAGTTCATAATAGATTTGTCAGCAGAGCCAGCATTTTATCCCTGTGTTGGCACTGTTGATGAGGTTGGGCTTTTTTTTCCTACCCTATTATAAAACCAGTTCAAAATAATGTTACTTCTGACAGCCAGGGTTGTATGCAAAATATTCATTATGTTCTTTTATTTGCGTTGTTTTGAGCAAGTATGGATGTTGCAAGTAGAGCCATTGCAAGTATGGATGTTTCAAGTAGAGCCATTGCAGGTTCTGGTTTTCTGTTATTATTTCTTTCTTTTGATAAGCTGATTTTGATTAGCAGAAATGCATGCTCTGCTAGTGTGCATTGACAAAGGAATGTAGTGTGATGAAGGGAGCAGAACAGGTTACATCACAATTCCAGATATTTCTTTGTATGTTGTGTTTTAATGTACCTAAAGCTAAACGCTATTAGAAAAGCTAGTTTATCTGATGGTATTGGGTAACAGCCATATTGGAATGGCTCTTTGTTAAGTTTTCCCTCTCTTTATAGGCTAATTCAAACCACAAAGGCTTTCGTGCCTTATTTTGAGATCAGTAAGTCAAGTTTTTCTTGGTGTTCCTGTCCCTAGGAATAGTAGTACCTGCTGTGTTTTGTTTGCATCAAGTGAAGACCTATGAAAAAAAACATTCATATCTTTTTAACATTGATTCATTTTCTTTTTTTTCTTTCTTTCTTTTTTTTTTTTTCCTGTTCCCAGCAGATATATGGAGTGATCAATCATTTCAGACAGACCCAGACTTACCACCTGGATGGAAAAAAATCAATGATATTGCTGGAATCTATTACTGGCATATACCTACGGGAACAACTCAGTGGCAACGTCCTGTGTCTGTTCAAACAGATCTTCAGGGCTCAAGGAAAGGCTCACTTGGTTCCATTACTCCATCTCCTACTCCAGAAACTGAGGTAACACACTGTCCTGATGTGTGCTGTGTACCATTAAAAAAAATAAAAATAAGAAGACATGCCTTCTTGACATGTTTGAACGTTACCTAAAGTAAGCTTTAGAATATGAGGCCTGATGCTATTCCGAAGTAGAGCTTCTTGTTGACAATATATTGTAATGGCCTACTTTTCATGTGTATTTTCTAATGGCTATGCCTCATAAAGCATCCTAAACTTGGGATGTGTAGGATGAAATCAAACATCATATCTCGCATAAATAAGTCAGTGCGTGATTGATGTGAAATGACTGCAGTATGTGCTGAAGCGTTACTCCATTATATGGGTACATAAAATTTCTGCACATTATAGCTATCTTTTTGCTAGACTATTTGTAATTGCATCTTCTTTTTGGTTCACATAGTAAGAGGGAGTATCACACAAAGAATTCATTTGAGACAGCAGCTGCTTTACAGAGTAGTTGCTATTAAATAAATATCAAGTATTCTCAAGAGTAAGCCTCTTAACATCTTGTCAGTGCAAAATATCTGCGTGAGTAGATCACTGTGTTGCAGTCAGTCTTTAACTAGAAACAGAAAGATGTTCTCTCTACATGGGCTGAAAGAGCAATATATGATACTGCCTTTTAAAATAATCCTTGAAGACACACTTGAGAAGGTTGATTGAATGTTGTATATATAGAAATATAAAATAAATACTGAGAAGGAAGAGTATGCTTCAAAATGGAATCACATTGGTTTTTAACGTAGACTTGACTTCTGTGGAATGAACCATTAACATGATAACACATTATTTTGAAACGTAATCCTTTTTTGTTCTGACTTTCCAGAAGAATGTCTACAGCTTTATGAAATCAATTGAAATCTTTGTACTAGCTTTGATTTTTGTATCAGGCAGTATTTGGTTATTATTTTCTTAATGTATTTAGGTATGACATTTTTTGTGTTCTTGACTTTATTGATACATGCACCAAAATAACGTAGGTGAAAAGCAAGGGGAGTAAAGGACATTCAAATATGTGTTAAAGTTTTGACCCTGAAACTTTTATCCTGTACAGGCTTAAACATGCACATTCTTGTTTATTATTTCAGAAAGATTGCTCCCATGTGTTCACAACTGCTACTCATAAGGTTGCCAAACTTGACCACACCATTTTAGTTACAGTTCACATCAGTAAGGTGCCTGTTCACCAAACACACTGGAAATCATTTCTGAGAGAGGTTCATGCAGAAAGAGCATCAATTGGTATCAATCATGTAGAAAATAAGAAAAAAAAAGTCAGAAATGCTCCATATAAATTCCTGCAAATTCTTCCAACTTCAAATGTCTGGATTGTATAAGTGAGGGATATATAACTTCAACATTAAGTATTTCTCTAGAATATGGACAACATATGGGCTTCAATAGGGAAGTTGTAGATGTCCTTCATGACCACCCAGAAATCAATTAGGTTAGTAAATTGCAAGAGAATGCATATATTCTTTTGAATTATTTTTCTACCTCTGTTTAAAATGTCTTTGCAGTGAAGATGTTAGACCTGCTGGTAATGTGGCATATGGACCTTTAATCTTTTATAATTTTCATTTCTTTAAACAGAGAATAATTATAGCAGCACAGATCTTAGTACAGTGTGAATGTATAAAATAAGAATACTTGAAGAGCTATTCTAAAATGCCATATATATGCCATATATATAACTCAAATTAAACTTAGATTTTGATGTGGATGTGCTAATGCACTGAAGAATTTGATCCAGTCAAGCATATGCATTTCTATGGCAGGATCAATACGATATACTGTATCTTAAAAGATTATATTGAAAATAAACAAGTTCCTGATACTTTTATTAATATGTTAATATTATATGCCTATTTTAATTGTAGATATAAACTGAGGAATTCATCTCTTGAAGGTTTCTATGTTCACCAATAAGCTTCTGACATGCTACTATTTAAATAATACTGATTTTTTTACTATCATTACTAAGATAGCATTGCAATAAAATACCAGCACATTGATAGAATTAATTTGGAAATCTGTGTCTGTCAGTCTGACAAAAAAGATGTGGAATTTGATCTAGAATGAGGCTCCCAAATGTCTGTACCCTGGTGCTGCCATTGGCAGCAGTGGTTGTGGTGGACAGGTTCCAGTTTGAGGCTGGAGCACTTTGAGCTGTGTACTGCTGGTTCCCATAGAGCTGCTCAGAGTACAGGCTTTCAAACTGATCTGGCTTGGAAGGGCTGCTTTAATTCAACCCCATGGGCAGGAATTTGTATTGTTTTCTTCTGAAAATCTTTTTGATGGATGAAAGGGCAATCTAGGATTAAAGATTGGTGTGGGTAGCATTTCTTATTTGTCTTAATGGGCTTTTGTCACTCCATAACAATTATTTTATCACTTTTGTTTGTGAAGCATTAAGTGCTAGTCTTGAGTTTGTTTGGGCTATTCCAGCTTTTAGGTTAGTCAAATAAACATATAGAATTATAGATTTTTTTTTTTGTTCCCTGAGTAATGCTATTTTTACCCTTTGTCTTGTTCCTTCTTTATTAATTTGTTTGTTATTTATTTTAGCTTTGTGTCCCTGTCTCTTAAATGATGTGACATACAGAAACTTTGCTTCATTTGGTAGAATGTGGCTCACAGCTGAGGGCAGTCAACAAAGATAGCCAGTTTTATTCCATGCCTGGTTGCAGGCAGTTAGCATGAAGTACAACAGATACTTAGCGTTGAACAGCAAGTTACAAGAAAATGAGCATGGAAAAATGGTGCTGTAATGCACACAAATGGCACAAAGGGCTTTAAAAAATGAAAAATACAAAAATGTCTTACTCTTGCTCAGGCTGTGAGACAGTTTTACTTTTCAAGATAATTAGTGAATTTCAATCGAAACCAATTGCAGGTTACACATTATGCGAAAATTCTGCACGTTTAGCAGAAGTGCTAATAAACACTAAGTATGGCTAACCTGGATTATTCTTTCCCTTTCTATTCCAAAAGCTACTACTAGCAAAAGCACAAAAACAAAACCACATGGACAGGTGGTTAAAGTTCACTTAGTTGGCTCTTTTCTTCTCTGCATTGATGACTGACTTCCTTTGTAAATCCTCATGTTTTGTATGTTTTCTTCCAAATTTTAGAGAAATTACTGCCTTTTTCCCATTTCCTGTGCAGAGAGAAGGGGCTTAATTTTCAATAAGAACTTCTTTGAGGTCCCAGTAGAACGTGGTGATGGTAGTTGTCTTCTTAAAGTCTGATTCATCACACACCTGGATCAGCTCTAGATGTTATTCCATAGGTAACATAATTGCCAACAGCTAATAATTTAAAAATGAGGGGCTTAGTAGGAAAAGCTAACAACTATTAATTAAGTCAGAGGCATGTCTGGGAGGAGTTACTGTGGGAGTTGTTTTTAACCAATAATTACTCCAGGCAAGATTTCATGAGAACACTTCTGAGATGTGAGATCCATACTGTGAATTAATGTACTGAGTATGTGGGTTCTGCTTGGCCTTAGTGCACAGCTTGTCTTGGGAGGGGCTATTATTAATTATTATTAATTATGGGAAATCTTGATGATTTGGGGAGCTATTTGGGGGGCTTCCCTGTGGGGAAGGAGGGGGGACAGCTCCAACATTAGTTGCTCCTCCTAGGCTTTGCAGGAAAGGACAAAACTCAGATTGCCATAGTGTTAAATGCACTATTGTCTTATTAATTGTGCCACTCTGAATGCATCAGAGCTATTAGAAAGCTAAATGGAAAATGAGAGAGTGGATGGTTTGTTTTGTTTTCTTAAAAAAAAAAAAAAAAAAGGTTCCTAGATTTTACAAAAGTACTTTCTCAACAAAAAATCTCTCTGCACTCCTTATTAATCCTTCTTCCCTTCACTTTGTTCCTCGTGCTTTTTCCCTAGAAAATATTTGATCTTTACCTTGTATGTATCTTCTCCTTGTGTATATCATTGTGTTGCAGTTCTAGTTCCAGTAGTATTAGTCCCTTAACAAATGTGGCAATCAAATGGAAATCCTTGTGTTTCCCCTAAACTGCTGTTTACCAGGCTGTAGCAGCTGTAGCCAACATTCATATTCAGATTTATTTTGCTTGCTTTTAAGATCATAGTTAAAGAATAATTTCATTGTTCGTTCCTAATTTATATTAACTTTCCTTGTTTCAATCATTTGTTTTGGTAAGTAACTGTTAGAAGCATGTCTTCTCTTCCCTTTCCTCCAAATGCCATGGTATAGTAATTAGCTGAAGTTTGAGGTGATCTGTTCCCTAACCCATCCTGTAAATATCAATGCTAACAACAGTGTCTTGTGTTTTTTTTTTCTTTTTCTTTTTCTTTTTTTTTTTTTTTTATCAATGTGCTTCTTCCTGTGTGAATAATTATGTGTCTAGAAACAGCCATGGAGTGATTTTGCTGTACTGAATGGGGGAAAGATTAATAGTGACATTTGGAAGGCAAGTATATTGTCAGATTTTAGAACCTTTAATACTGTTACCCTTGTTTTTTGCATGGCAGTGGCTGTTTTTTTCCCTTTTATTTCTCCATGAATGTCATTCATAACTTAGGCCGAAGTGAATGGGGGTACTGCTAAGGATGTGTAGCTCACAAACATGCTGCCTTTTCTGATCTTTCCACGTGGAATGGATTCAGTCTAAACTTGCAGGGCAACTGCCATGATATAACAAATGAGATGCCTGCACTGAATGAAATGCAGCTTGAGAATACATATGCATGCCTCTTTTCAACTTCAGCCAGAAATACTGTCGCTTCTTTGCAGGGAGGATTTAATTTCCCTTTGAAATAAGAAATAACACGGCGGTGTCCTTAATACTGCACTGACCAAACTGCCTTTATCTGTAGGACCTGCATGCAGCCACTGTGAACCCAGACCCAAGTCTGAAAGAGTTTGAAGGAGCCACATTGCGCTATGCCTCCTTGAAGCTCAGGTACGATGACTTCAGAAATTCCCATGGAGTAACCAGTTTCATATGGTGTTTTCCTTAATTTTTACCTTATTTTGAAGTTGATTTTTGTTTTGTTTTGTTTTGTTTTTTAACAGAAATGCTCCACAGTCTGATGATGATGATTCTTGTAGCATCAACAGTGATCCAGAAGCCAAGGTCTGTAAGAAAATACACTGTGAGATAACAATTAAAATTTGCAATTGTGAACATAACTTGCAAGCTGCAGAATGTCTCCTAGGTTGTGAAGTTTAATATACTCCTCCTTTTGGCACAATATAGGTTGACCATGCAAGACTAATTTTTTCAAAGGAATTTGCAATTTAAAGTTTTATTCCATTTGGTCAGGATAGTGTGACCAAGAGCCAAGAAATTGCTTGTTACAGCTGAAGAGTAAGTGGTAATAACTGACCCCTTGCACAACCAAGCAAGTTTTCTGTTCTAAGTAAGAGAGAGGCTTGTTTTTTGTTATGGCTGGACAGCTTCCTGGGGCTTTCATTGACGGCAGTGGCTCTTTATTCTCAAGTTTGTCCCCTCTTTAAATGCTCTTTGCTCAAGTGGCTGCTTCAACTCTCAGATACTAACAAGGAAGCTGCTTTTTTGAAAAAGGAACTTTGTATTTCAGAGAACAGAGAATGCAGTCTAGTTTGAGGATAAAATTTATCAGTAAAAATGAGACTACTGTGTGAACAAGCACCATAATTAAATTAGGGCCTTCAGTGATGTAATCTAAACTTTCTGAGGAGAAGGAAGCAGCAGGAGGTTTTGAAAGCTTGTGCACATGTCTCCAGATTGGTCTTGTTGACAATTTTGCCATGTGCTTGCATCCATTTTTAAGAATGTATGCGAATCTCTAAAATTGGAAATCCAACTAGTTTAAATGAGCGCCTTTGCTGCCATACACCTGCAGTGACTGACAGGAGCAGAAGCTACTTACATGCAGAAAGACAGTATGAAACAGATTTAATAATTATAATAGCATTAACGATATATTTTAGGAGAAAAAACAGACTGATCAGGGTACTTTGTCGTCTTGATTATTTGGCTTGTGATGTTTAAATCAGATGTAAATAAGTTTGTTTCGCTTGGCAGGCTGGCAGTTCAAAAGCGAGGCTTCAGCTGCTCTCGTTATAATGACAGGCACAGTAAATGGAGTGGGGGAGTGATGAGCATTAGGTACCAGTTTTCAGAAAGCTGTTCCTTTCAAATGTCTTACAGTGTGGAAAGCACTGCAAGTAGCTGACATTTTGGTACGTTTCACTCTTCACTGGATAATTAGCACTGGGGGAGTCCTTGTGTGGAGTGTTTGTGTGGACAAAGAACACTGGTCATCATCTCCCTCCTGTATGACTAGCTGTTAAGCTACACAATTTATGGAGCTGATACCTATCCAGTATCAGCAAAATGAGATGAAGCCAAGAGCTTGTCCACAGCAACTGGCTTTTTTTCTCCTGTGTAGGCCAAATTGTGCTGATGATGCTTACATGAGTAATCGTAGCTGAGCACTGAAACATTCGCTGAAGTGGCTGAAAGGAGCAGGACAAGAAATGGAGTAGGAATTATACAAGTGTTTTATGTTTATTGCATCACTTGAGCACTGATGTGCTATCTATCACTGCCTGGCAGGGCTGTTGTGGTACAGTTCAGCAGCTTGGGCCTTACCCTGCAGCTCCAGAGGCTGAGGGCAGAGCTTCCAGCTGCTGTATGGCTATACCTTGCAGAGATGGGAGGTGGGTCTGGGAACACCAAGAAAATCTTTGCCTCTGGAAAAAAGTCATGGAAAGGCAGATGTGGTAGGAGGGTTCCTTGTTAGTCCATTTTATCCAACTTATTGTGAGAGTAAAAGAAGTGCAATAGGATTTAAAACAGGTGACCTGATGCTTGGATAAATCTATTTCTAGCTTCTTCAGCTTTTCTGCCACGTTACTTGCCTTACTGCATTGGTTTGATGCTTGCTTCTGCGTGGCAGCAAGCACAGCCTCAGAGAAGGAAGCTTTGTAACTCATTAAACTCTGTGTTAGAAGAATTTGTCAAAATGGGCCTTGTTAGAGAGATGCTAGAGAATTTAAATCTGTTTAAGCCTATCCACGATAGTGGCCAGTACATTAAAAGAAAAATAAAAGTAAAAATGTCTTTAGGCACACAGATCAGTGCTGTCTTTCAGTAAAGGGAACTGTGCCACCATGTGGAAGTCTCTAGTAGTTCCCTTCCCCAAAGGTGGTCTGCTTCTGAAAGGACTGTAGTGTTGTAAACAAGTCAATGTTGTGAAAAGCATGTCATAGAATTCATGTAGTTCCTGTAAGAAAAGTTATTTACTCAGCTTTGAGCTGCGCATCCTTGGCAGGTCAGTGCAGGTTTTCTGCACAAGACCATAAAAGGGAAGGGAAAGGACAAGAAAGAGGAAGATGATTAGATTGAGCTTCTCCATTTCAGTGATTCATTTTTGTAGGAATTTCTTGAAGAGGTGGCTCGTTGCACTTGACAGGGATACTAATTCTGCATGTGAAACATGCGCGACTGGAAATGAGTTTTGAATTGGTCCTAGGAGACAGATCATAACTTTCCTGGTTAATTTATTGAGAAACATGCATTCCTACTTGAGTCTCAAGGAAGGTAAAAAGATGCTTTTACCAATCCTGGATTACAAACTGATCTGGGCTACGTCTTGGTTTTTTTCCCTGTGCAGGTACAAACAAACTGAACCTCTTGGGAAATCTGTCTCCGTCCCTAGGGATGGGATGATAAATAGAGGAGTTATGCAGCTCAGTTTCTCCTAATTCTATACAGAATCAGCCTATTTGACTGGACATTTGAACCTGCCTGTATTCTTTCAATTTAGGTGTGGTTTTCTGCATAGGCTTAATGTAGTCCTGTATGGATTTTCTAATTTCCTGCCCCCATATTAGCTTGTTCAGCAGGGCTCTACTTTTCACCCTTGCCATTTTAGAGTAGCTATATATTGATATCTAAGAATTGTGAAGAAATATCTATACCTGCTGAAGTACTAGGCAATTGCTTCAAAAGCCTGTTTTCTAATTTAAAAGCCAGTAAATGTTCAGGATCTTGAAAGGTAGAAGAGATAATTTCTACATTTTGTAGAGGTATGAAGTGCTGCTAACAGGTACTTGAATGTGATGATTTACCTGTAAGTGAATGGAAAGAAGCTGAAGGCATGGAAAGTGATGAACGTGGTGATGAATTGTTAAGCGTACTTGAGTGTTTTGAGTGACATGCGGCTGTCTTGTGGTTGTCATGAATGTAGCCTGTAAATATCACTATTGAAATAACTTTTACATAATACTAACTGGCTCCCAAAGAGTTAAACATTATCTCTTTGATGTGTCTCTTGCTATGAAGGTAGGTGTTGTGTCTTTTGGAGAGATCTCATCTCTGCATGTTTCTTATGTTCTTACGTTCTCCAGAAACAAATATCCTGGGTAGACTCAGGGCCACTAGCAAATAATCGGTCTGTCCCCATGATGATGGTGGTGGGCTGCGGATGATTCAGACTTCTGATGCAAGTGAAGAGCTAACCAGAGACAAGTAGTTTTTGTCATGTCTAGTAATTACAAGAAAGGATGAATTTTCCATGTTAAAGGGCATAATTCTTTCCCATTCAGAATAGCTTCTGGATTATTGGTGCAAACAGGAAATAGTCAATGCTTATCCAGTAGTTTCACTGTTCACCTCATATTGCATCTAATTCTCTCATGAGCATATGAAGCTCTACAGAAAGCTTTAGTTCAGTCCATCTCAATTAAAATTTGAGGTTGCCACCTTCTTAAAAGATGAGTGCCTGGTTCTCTGACTGTTGTAGCAGCTCTCTTTTCTGGCTTTAATATTTAACAATGTTTGATCAGATTTGTTACTTCAAATGAGTTTTTTCCAATATTATATAGAACAGATCTAAAATATCCATCCGTTGGTGTGCATTAAAAAGAGTGTGGCCAGCAGATTGGGGGAGTGATCTTCTCCCTCTGCTCTGCCCTGGTGAGGCCACATTTAGAATACCGTGTTCAGTTCTGGGCTCCCCAGCCCAAAAAAGATGGGGATCTTCTAGAAGGATTGCCACAGAGTTGATAAAGGGCCTGGAGCATCTCCCATATGAGGAAGGCTGAGTAACCTGGGTCTGTTCAGTCTGAGGAAAAGAAGACTGAAGGCGAATCTGATTAATCTTAATAAATATCTGAAGGAAGGTCAGAGGAAAATGGATTAGGCCGGGCTCTTCTTGGTGGTATGCAGTGATAGAACAAGGAGCAATGGCCTAAATCTTGAACATAGGAAGAAGTTCTGTGCAAGCATGTGGAAGAACTTCTTTACAGCAGGGGTGACAGAGCTGTGGAACTGCTTGCCCAGAGAGGTTGTGGAGTCTCCTTCTATGAACATATTCATAGAATATTTGATGTACCTGTGTGACGTATTGTAGGGTGTGTGCTTTGGCAGTGGGGATGGATTCAATGACCTCTTGAGATTCCTTCCAAATAATCTTGCCAGTAGCTGAAAGTTTCTTGTGAGCAACAGAATTATATATTGTGGGGATTAGCCCAAAGAGTACTTATAAAGTTCTTTCAAGACTAAACCTCAGGCAGTAGAACACCCAAGTGCATCTTTAGAAGTGCAGTTTTTTGCATTGATTTGAATACTCAAAATAGAAGAAAACATAATATTCAGTGCACGTGAATCTTCCTTAAACAATGTGTGTGAGTGTTTTAAAACAGAGGAAATAGAATACAAGTTAAGTAGTTTCAAAATTTTGTTTCTGTTTGCTATTGGTTTATTTTAGACTTTCAGGGGGTAGCATGATAATTTGGCAATAAAATATTTTAAATAAGTAAAATCAACATAAACATTCCAGAGAAATTTGAAGAGGTTTTGGGGGGGTTATGGTTTTTCCTTTGTTTCAAACACAAAAAGGCATCGTTAGCTACCTCCCCTTTTCACTTTTCAGGAAGTCATTTCAGTAGCTTTTAGAACTGCATGAAAACAGATTTTCAGTTTGAAACATCCAGTGAATAGTTGAAGAGAGGTCAGTCGCAACAATCATTATATCAAAGCAAGATTTTATCTGTCTCTCCTTCTTTGCAGCCTCTCAGTAGAAAAGGTGAGCAATGAGGAAAGCAATTCCTGAGCTGGTTGGTTGCTTATGAATTTGGCTCCCT